GGTAGTTGATGGCATTCCGGGAGGGGGGAGAACGAGAGAGCACGAAAGAGTGCGCGCACTTAAGCGACCGTTCACCATGCTGGGCACGGAACTCGCAGGGGGTTCTCTTGTACACAAAAGACTGGCTTTCTCAACCTGATAGCGGTCGCCCCTGCTTTTCCTAACAGTCACTGACCCAGGGACTTGGGGTAATGGTGAATTCTACCGGTGGAAGTATCACGCAAGCGTGACGATACAGCTTTTGGTAGGGTTGCATCCCTGACGCGGCATGCAATCCCCCATCACGAGGGTCACAACAGTCGTCTACTTATGCGCAGATCCGGTCACAACAGTGCCGCACTTTCTGACGTCAAACCTCATTGCGAACACACTATAAGTGCGCGAACGGGCAGGCTAGACTGGTGTCGGCGTTATCAAAATACTGTCTGCAAACCGCAATAGACAAGTTGGTTTGTGCCCAGCCTAAGTAATCTGCGAATGAGAAGCAGGATATAAATGCACCTCTGGCACTATCTGTCATTGCTGGGTGGGGCTACAGGGCGAGGTTTCTGTCAGGATCGAACCATACATCGTGACCTTGACAGTGTGAGAATGTCGGAGTTGGCGGGAGTTCAAACTACTGAATCAGAGTCGAAACGTACTCCCCCCCACTGATTCCAGCAGGGTTGTGGCCAGTAGACGACGTCAAGAGCTTTAGGAACGATCGCTAGAGCAAAATTACGGTTAATTGTGATGTATGGTTGCTAATTTTACAGTTTTAGTAAGAAATATTTGGAATATTGAACTGTACAACGTAAAACACATTGTCGTGAACGAATGATGACATGGTCCTAACGGCAATCGCTTCTTAAAAACTCGCCCGACTAGTAATCCCTCTCAGTTAACATACGTGAAAACAGGAGGAACAAGGGGAGTAGTTTCAATTTCTGCATTATTATTATTCACACAGGAGGCAAAGAGCATCACAGCACAGGTAATACCAGTGGGAACCAATCAAAGATCACGGTTCATAAGTAGGCCCATTTTACTGTCCAAACTGGCATACCGACCTATCCTTTTGACGGTCTGGCAGTAAACATTTGTAAGTAGAAGAAACGACGGTCCAGGTTTCTTTTTTACTAAACCATTGTTCGCACCGGAGGCAAGAGCATCACAACACACGTAATACCAGTGAGAATCAATTCACTGTCCAAACTGGCGCACCGACCTACCCTATTGACAGCCTGAATCGTTGCAAGCAGGAGGTTCAGTTCTCTCCGCGTGTAGCAGTGCGGATCCTCAAAAATGTCCAGACGCCATAAACGATCCATCGGAGTTTCTGCTGCCAAGGTGGCTTCTGTGGGATCCAAACTGTCGGTGAAGGGCACGGGAATGCGGGCGATCTTGAGCACTCGAAAGCGAGTCTCAGCTTCGTCAGAGGCCGCAACATATATATAGGTCGGCGTCTCGTAGACTGTGAGCTTTTGCAGCCAATTGATATAAGGATAGCACCGACAGACCATTGCAAACCTTAACGAGAGGGCATGCGTAATATGAGAGTACGTAATGAAAACTTAATATAATCGACTCCCGCCTATACATGGTTCCGTACATGCAGACTCATTCTATGAAGCATATCTAAAGTGTTTGCTTATTAATTCGGTGGGGATTTATAGAAGGGCCGCCTAATGAAAATTAATAAAAATAACGAACTACTTGGAAATTCTCAGTAGGTGGAATTTCCGCCTATTCAAAAACGTTCTTGATTATGTTATTCAATAGGAGTTGTTCTACTAATTTTCTTTTCTAGACCTTCTTTTCAGTCTTTTTGTCTTTTCACAACCCTCACCTATATTTTTAGTTCAGTAAGGCAATTATAAGCGGCCTTAATTACTTTCTTGTTGCGCAGTTTGCGCACATTAACCCTTTAACCATGAATTCCGTAAGACTGCGGGGCTTTTTCAATTGGGCGGCTCTACGATAAATCCCTATATTTTTTTGCTTGTTTGCGAAACTAGATAAAGTTTCATAATTGAAACATGCTTTAATAATCTTCGCATTTACGCTGAAAGGGTATTGAAATTCATGATTGTGAAATGTTTGACGATCATCGACCGCCTAAGGAGACCCTTAATGCTTGCTGGGTGAAGTTCTGGCCGGAGGATTTTTATGATTACTCGAGCTTATATGCCGATGAAATTCAACATGCGGCTATTAATAAGGTAGTCCAACTGGCGAGAAGGTTTTGATGACAGCAGAAGAAGGAAATGCGATCGCTGGAACACGAAGTTTATTGGCCTGACGTTCGCAATCGCGTTTATCAGAGACAGTCACAAATAAGGGTGATGAAGACGCAACGAATGGACTATTTATAGGACGCAGTAGAAATGTAATCACGTGCTTAGTCCAATAAACGGAAGGCGGTAAATACGACGCACTTACTTAGCATCAAGAGCATCAGACCATTTAGTCAGAAGCACAGTTGCTTAGAGACATGGTCATAAAATTGCAATATATTCGGTGACAACACGGAACAAACGAATGCCCACGTAACTTCGAGGACAGGCTAATGCGCAAACAAAACGAGAGACCAAACAGCATCGGTGCGAATTTTGGCGAGCGTGCCCGTATGAAAGGAACGCCTCGGCAGCTGTAAGCCGCCTTCTTGCACTACTTGGAGATGCACACCGAACAGCAGTAACTGTCAAGCGCCAAATAATGCGACCGGAAGCCCTTCTTTTACTGCAGGAAACGACTATAATGAAGTTGCTGCAATTGTAGACAGGGCAACTACGTCGGAGAAAATGGGAGACAGCTCCGCACGCTGATGGTCCAACATGTGGCAACATCTAGGAGAAAGGACGCTTACCCTCAGGTCGCGCGGGGACCCGGCCACATTTCTAAGTTTTACAAGACTGAAATTATCGCAAGGGCTGACAACCACGTGAGCCGTGAACTGCATGAGTATGTGTTCTCCTACACGCAGTCGATTTATAAGAGCGAAAACTATTCGCCTCCATATTCCGTGCTGAGTCTTTTTTAAGCATAGTAATACGCCATTTGAGGGCGTGGGCGGCAGACAGCAAGGCACAATACCAAGAATCGATAAAGCATGATAAAATTTCGGAAATAAACGACACAGCCGCAGACTTACGAGCAATCATCGCATCACGCACGACCTTCGAGCGACGAACGCGAGATATGCAAATAGAACTAGGCACGTGATGGCCTGACAATTGCGTCCTATAAATACTACACTCGGTGCCACTGCCTCTGATGATGGGTTCGAGGCAAAATCCGAAACGGCAGGTCAATAAACGCCACGTTCCAGAGCTTGCATCTTCTCCTTCTTCTGATGATGAAATCCGTCAGCAAAGACGCAACATGTTTACACAACGAGGAGGAGGATGAACGTTTCACGTTATGAGGGCAGCCAGGGCGGTGTGGGAGACGACTGGGGCATGGGGTCCTTACATGGAACTTTCCGTAGTTTTCAAATACCCTTGGGACGTGCACGGGCCCTCTAATAACCGCTTCTTCACCCCGAAGAAGCAGCAACTGCAGATGTCTACAAATAAGTGTTTTGAGCCCATAAACAATGAACCTTTAAAGCCTCTAAACGCCCGAATAATTTCAATTTATAAATGAAGCGCCCGAAGAAGGGGAAGACGCGCCCCTGAGGCTTCAATGCTGAACCTGTTGCTTAGAAGACAAATGCTCTAAGCAT